GGCCTTCCAGCTTATACACTTCCTGATGATGTCTCCATTATATACCTGCAATCTGCTGTACAAATTAATACAATGGCCTCAAGATTAATTGATTGCTTGCATGCAGATATCAGTGGTCGCATTATACCGATACACGTAGGCTTTGATTGCGAGTGGACAACAAAGTATATCAACAAAGCTTCGTTTAGGCAGAAAATATCATTGATACAAATTGCATTCAAAAAATCTGTATACCTATTTCATCTTGGTAATACCCATCAAATGCCTGGTCAACTGAAGCTCTTGATTGAAGATATCAATGTCATTAAAGTGGGACGTTGTGTCAAACAAGATTTGCAGAAACTTGAAGCTGATTACCATGTTGACAAAGCTTCATATCACCCAAAAGCTTTTCTTGATCTGGGAAGTAGATATATGGAAATGGGCCATACAGACTCATTAAAGCAATGGTCACTTCAGAAACTTTGCGATGATGTCTTGGGTAAATACCTAGCTAAGCCCAGTAGCGTACGCTGTGGCGATTGGCAGGCTACTGTTCTAGATGCAGATCAAAGGAAGTATGCTGCTATTGATGCCTACGTTGCTCTGGATTTGTTCGAAAAATTGAAGACTCTGAAAATATTAAACCGCCCAGTAAACCAAAAATCGAATGTTGATACTATTGTCAACGTGTACGCCACACCAAAGACTTGCCGTGGGAAACAGCTAGCGGTTGGAAAAATTGTAGAGTCTCCTGATGACAATATAAACTGTAAAAACTGTGTAGCAGTTCAAGTATCAAAGGTCTTTAGGTCTGATTCATATGCTCCAGTGTGCCATCATGAGAACAGAATCTCTAGTAGATTGAAAAAAACGTTTACTGCAATGAATGTGGAAGAAAACACCACAACTATACGTCTCAGCCAAAGGTGCTTGAAGACTACTAAACTGAAAGTTGAAAACATCTCATTATTGAAAAGCACAACCTCTCCAACTCTTGTGTTAAAAGACCCGTTCCATTTGATGGACTCAATACCTATCTCTGAAAAACATGGTGCTCACAAAATTTTTATGTCTCGGTTTAGTGATGCCCTGTTTGTTCCAAGTATTGAAGACAAGAAAAAAGTAGGAGACGCTTTAAAACTTCAGAACACAACATATGAAATCGTTTCGAAGGAGAGCCCTGTTTGGATTGCAAAGAGGGTACGCAGAATCATCCCTAGACCAAACGATTTGTTGCCAGTTATTGAAAAACTGTTTAAAGAGTTTGAAGGCACTGAGTGTGCAAAGACCGGGCTACCGCTTTTTGACAAAGCGTGTAAGGCACAGGCTGTCAAGGTCCTCAATGCTATTAGCAGAGGCCATGTATCCGATCCTGTTGGCATTCCATTATACCACATTCGATACGTTGATGGGTTGGGGTTGCCCGTGTATAGGTGTATTCGTGGCACAAACAGTTTGGAAGGAGGCGTACATACAAACATCATTAGAAAATTTTCAATGTATAACGCTTCTCCAAGGCTTGCTGATTGTCTGCTGACTGATTATCGTCTTAGACATAATACCGATGTGAGTAACATATATTTTGATGCATGTTCTATTTTAATGAATTGTAAAATTATTAATCAATAGGTTGGATCTCTTAATCGTTATAATGTGGTTCACAAGACCCATTATAACCCCTGGCTGGTCCAGGGAATTAATCATTTAAAAAGTGAGCTAGGTATGACTGTAAAAGGCTCATACTATGACCCTGATAGTAATAGTATACATTTCTTTCCTGTTGGAGAGACTTTTGGTATCTGCCCTGTCCCTGATTTTACCAAGCATCATTTGGAAATGATCTCACAAGATTCTGACGCAGACTCTATACCATTTATATCTCTACAACGATTCAAGATGTTTTACAGATATGTGCACTATCGATGGTATCTGTTCGTAGACTGAAAATGTCTACGTATCAATATCTAGCGTACATGCAAAATACCCAATACCCGGTTTTACCCATTCATACCAAAAATGAACAAGACAAGTTCTGGACACTATACACTCAACTAAAATCAGTAAATAATAGAGCAAAACCTGATTTTGTAAAAATGGCAAAGGAATGGTGTCGAAGCACAAACATCCAAAACCAAGCACTTCCTGATGGCAAAATACCAGTTGACTTTTATAAGATTCCCGAGTTACTCGAATCTTTCTTCAACAAATCACAAAATAATGATATCTATGTCAACACCACCAAAATATCGAAAAATGCAACCAAGCTGGCTGCCACAAAAAATGCTGTCAATCCTGAAAAGCAAAACCGTCAAAAATGTAAATTCTTCAACAATGCTGAGATACCAAATTAACTTTTTAGTGTATATGGTTATAATATCTTAGAATAAATACACTATAATCAGCAAATAAACTGTGCGCACCTGGATGAATTAAAAGTTGTGTAATGACTATACATAGATCAGATCAAAATAAATTTTACAGCTACAAATCCTTTTAAGTGTATATATTAAGATAATAAGACCATTATATCATAATAGCTCTCGAAAGCTGGTTACATATGATGCATTTGCCTACCATAATCGATAGTTCAAATTACACTATTTCCCAAAATGATTGGGACACTTTTTGAAAACGCAAGAGACGAAATTAAAAAACAGATGAGACAGTTCTCGAATTTGATTGGCACAAAAATAAAAGTTAGCTCGAGACACTTGAGGAAAATGAATGAGACAAATTACGAGTTTCGAGTATCCCATACTACAAAGGTTGTTTATTCAAGCATACCTTGAACTTGTTAAAAGAATAACGGACAAATCCTTCAAGATCGTTATAAAAAACACTATTGCATGCATCAGCTATTCTGCTAGTGAGATTCTCGCTTGCCAATAGCTTTTCTCTTTTCAGCTTGCTTTTTACGACATGCCAAAATTGTTCGATGGGGTTTAGCTCTGGAGAGTATGGAGGAAGATATACACACCTATAGCCTCGCTGAACGATATATCTTTCAATGTCGTCGGCTGTATGAATAGGCGCGTTATCCATTATGATATAGAAGCCTTTGAACCTCTCATCCTTGTCCAGAACGTCTAGTGTCTTAGCTACAAAATTCAAAAAATGTCCTGTTACCGTACCCCCAGATCCTACTTTGCCAGAGGCTCCACCTATCTTTCTCTTCTTGTTAGAGACGCCGGGTATTCTTACTTGAACATTGATGACACCCCAAACACTTACTGCGCCAAAAATAGTTGTGGTTTTGGCCCTCGTTGAGAGAACAACTACCTCAGCGCGGGTACCTTTCTCAGACCAAGCCATTGTTCGCTTAAGGTTGACATGGAAAGCAGATTCATCAAGAAAGACGCAATTCGACATGTAGTCCATATCTGTTTGCTCCCATCTCTTCACCCATTCGTAGCGTCTTGAAATGCTTTCAGGGGAGTTTCTTTCCTTCGAGTGGAAATGGGCTTTCTTGAAGGACAAGGCACAGTCATTGACCATATATCGGTGGACAGACGACTTGCTAACCTTTAAGCCAAGAAAAACTTCGATTAGACTTTCCATGGCCTGGTTTATAGTCGCAGATGGGTTATCCACAAATTCTTTCTTCAAGTGGTCCTTTTGGTCATCGTTGAGGAGTTTTGATCGGCCAATTTTCTTCTTCTCATCAGCTGAACCAGTAGTGTTTTCGCCAACACCGCTTCTGTTTTTGATTTTGTCTTGGTCCTCTTTATACCATCGATATGCAGTAGACCGAGGTATGTTGGCAGCTTTAGCAGCTTTACCGGCAGTCATATCATCATTATATACAAAGCTGAAGAACCTAGCCTTATCTTGTTCAGTATAAACATTATGTGTATGAATAGACGTCTTCTTATGTCCAACATTCTTCATCTCAACGTCGCGAGCAAGTTTCCCCTTTTCAGCAGATTTTCCGTCGATATAGGTACGGTAGTTTGTGATGTCCCCTAGTGGATAGTTCATATCGTCTACTTCCATGTTAACAGGCTCGTTTCCACATTCGTCTACTGGAGGATTTACACCATCCTCTTGATAGAATTTGTAGGTAGTCATTTTGATTGTGAAGATGAAAATTCTCTGACTTTGTCTCGTGTCCCATTCATATTCCTCAAGTGTCTCGAGCTAACTTTTATTTTTATGCAAATCAAATTCGAGAATTGTTCCATCTGTTTTTTTAATTTTGTCTCTTGCGTTTTCAAAAAGTGTCCCAACTATTTTGGTAAATAGTGTATATCGTAAGTTGACAGGAAAACAAATACGCATGTTTCAAATTATAATACTGCTGGTAAGTTGTGAAATGAGTTGGTTTTTTTTATGAAGCAATTTTTTCTCCTAAGTTCGAATTGCCGAGACGAAATGTTTGTACAAAGGATATTCGTATTTGATTTAAGTAGTTGTTCCTAAGGGTTTACTGTGTTTCTGTGATCTGTTCTTCAATTGGAATAGGCAACAATTAATAAAAGCAAATTACGAAAGAAAAGCTCTATGTTTATTTGAAGATCAACGTCTACTTTTAATGTCTCAGGTACCGAGTTCTTGGACAGACTACATCTTGTGTATCTTCTCTTATCACGTGCTTCCTTTCTTGGTAATCTAAGAATAAGTAATTTACGGCACTAATCAAAATTTGATACTCTGCGGTGCGGGTTTTGTGAAATTGGTAGCGATGTTTTGGAAAGATCTTGCAGTAAACAGGTCAATGCCGAGACTAATTAGACTGTTTTTCTGTTGTTTAAGTGTATATTATGTCGAATAACTAGGATATGGTATGGTATCTCAGCGATAGAATAGCAAATAATTATATATGACAGTATTTTAAACGTAAGAAAGTTCGATTTATTTCAAATATGAAGCATAATTCCATATATATGTCTAAAATGAGACGTTCCCAGAATTCAACATCAGGTTCAGGAACGTAGCTTCAATTGGCTCAGACTCTGATCACGTGCGGGTGATCAATTAGCACCACCAAAAACAATTTACATCTGTAAAAAATTAAGACAGTCGCTTTGTCCGAGTGGTTAAGGAGTGTGATTAGAAATCACATATGCTCTGCATGCGCAGGTTCAAATCCTGCAGGCGACGATATTATTTTTAAAAATAAGAATGTGGTGCATGTAGCACATAAAAGAAAAATTCGTTCCACTCGCGGAATATCAGAGTGGGCATAGTTCTGTCACGCTGCACCCTATTTTTTCTTCTAAGATAAAATTATCAACCTGTCAACTGCCAATCCATTGTCTTTATCACTATTCAAAACCAATAACTTCCAATTTAATCTAGGTTCAATGCCTGATTTATCAAAAATGTGAAATACATTCACTATGATGATCTGCATTCCACTTCTAGATTCATCCAGTTACCTTAAATTGATATAGACTACATATGCGCACAGATAATAAGATGTGCAATACAGATTTATACTATATAAGATATAAGCTAGAGATGGCACCATTAGGATGGATGACGCTATAGACTGATACTTATATCTCGACACGAGCCTTAGACATTTACTAGATTTAGTATATGCTACGAGCTTATGCTATATAAGATCTATGCTTCAGATGCGTATTCCCAGTTTCTAGATACGCACTACAAGACATATACTTATATCCATGATACTAACTACAGATACATCACGTACTACAGACTTGTACAATATGTGCAATGCTATAGATATGCTTATGACATGCTATAGACATGCTACATATACCAATATATGCTAAGATGAATACCAAGTGATATACACTCAGACATGTACTATTAATAAAGACTGGATAAGACTATACAAGGAATGATATACGCTTATGGATAGAAGATTGATCAGGGTGTTGTGCCAGTGTCAAAGGGCGCAGCGTAATGTCATGTAAAATATGATTCGTATAAAGTAATAAGACTTTTCTGAATAAAACCAGATACAAAACTGAAGACTTTTATTGAAATAAGATATGATCTCTATTTATACTAAAATATATCCTAATCAATGTTTATCCACATAACATCTGATGTTTGACAAGAAGTGTCAAACCTTATTAAATTACAGCATTTCCAGGACAGTGTTGTGCCAGGTCTTGAAATTGAGCACAGCAGGTAATTGTATATGATATGAAGAATATAAGAAAGTGATAAAGACTTAATTTACCAGATACAAAACTATTGATTTATTGATTGACAAGAAGCTGTCTATTTATATTAGAATAAATCTATCTGAATCAATCTATAAAATACAATCAGGTCATGTTTGACATTTAATTGTCAAACAAGATTATAACACAGTAGTAGTCAGAGCAAAACCTATTTCTATATTTAATCAGCTAATCGTTATGAATGTGGATCATTCATCGATAAGTTGAGCTTCGCAATTGAATAAGTAGAACCCAAATAGATGGTTTCTTATACAAGACATTCTATTGAATACTTCTATTTACTAGATAGAATAATCAATGCCATTTAACCTTAGATCCGATCAGGAACGGTTGCCATGACAACTGAGTTGAGATAGTGGCAACCATGGTATTCTATGGATACAACAGACAGACCTATCTTTCTATTTTACATTAAAGAGAAGATTGGGTAGGATGTCGGGAAGACATCCCGCGATCTGATCTAGATTAAGCAGTGAATGGACCGGCTGAAAAAAAGAAACTGTTTTGAAAAGGTCCGAAAACCACTGTATTATAAGATTCGCTGATGACTACATGAAGGATATTGTTGTGCGGTGGCGTGTGCCATGTAGTCTCATTGCCACCATATATTAGTTAGACGCAAAACACTCCCTCTCACTATCAAGTATTATATAATTTATATCTTATCCAAACAAATAAACAATAGTCTTTATCCCATTAACCATTAGTTTTGGTAACCTTGGTTATATCTCTGTTGTGTGTTATACAGTCGTTATTGAACAATCGCTTAGTTTAAATCCAATATCAGGTAAATATCGGTCCACGCAACAGTATAATGAAGGAGGCAGTACAAAACGAATTAAATGATATACATTAGATGGGTGCTATTGCATCCATATAATACGTCAATCAATACTATGCGTAGAGGATATAGGAACATGATTTCAAAAAAAAAAAAAAAAAAGTATAATATCAGACACAGAAATGACTTTATTGATAAGAAAATGCCATATTTTATACTAGACGGGCTGGCCACCCTGCCCACTCTGGTGATTTTTGCACCTTCGCTACGCTGCGGTAAAAATCGACCCTCATTTACACTCCTGATCGAATCCAAGGATGAATATCACTGGTTATTTTATAAAAAATAGAAGCAATCATGGAATTTCTTGCATATAAGTGTTATATCTGTAGAATAACCATGTTTACCATATTATTTCAATTCATTTGTCATTGCAAACGTTCCTAATCGAATCCAAGGTTATATGTCACCACATGTTCTATTATATAGTAAATAGTAATAATTAATAGAACGTCTTGTATAAGAAAGTATCTATTTAGGTTCTACTTGTTTTATTTTGCGAAGCTAAACTTATCGATGAATGATTCACATTCATATTAATTGGCTGATAGGATAGGTCTTGTTTGGAAATTGTACTGCTTTTAAAGGGGTAATACCGTTGATTATAAGATGTAGAAGCACAGTTCAGAGCAGAAGAAATTGTACAGTAATTCAACATATGAAAGCTTAAGTTACAACTAATTCTAAGGATGCCCCATAAATACCACAACTTTAGTAATTTGTATATGATATTATTTCACACAACTTCAGTTCGTATCCATCGGCATTCGGTTCCACAGAGCCTAGTAGAAGATAAACAAATGTAGGCGTTGGTGGCTCCTTTTAGAAAGCTTCCAGACCATGCAGTCTCTGTTTCTTGATAAAATTATCCATTAATACAATAAAAGCAGTTTTAAAGAGCAAAAAAGAATGTCAATATCAGTTTGTTAACTACCCTTGACCAAGTAATAGCCAAGTGTAAACAAGTATACTATCGCAAGAAAATGGAATGTGTAGCGACGGGATTAGCTTCCAAATTCAACAAAACTGAGCGGAACGCCACTCAATAGTCTTTTAAATACCATTAATAAGCAATTGGTAATGGTATTCTTTCGGTCAAATTCTGCTCATCTTCCAGACGTTGTAAAGATAGTTGGCCCGCTTTATGCGGTTGTTTTGCTTGAAATTGAATTGACGTAACGGTAAAACAGACTGAGTAATGCAGTGCTGTGTACGCTGATAGTTTATGATGACCAACTAATATAGCGCTTATACAATGGATTTTCAAAAACTATGTTTGCTGCCTTTTATGAGCCGTCCAAAACAGAGCTACCCAGTTTTCCTGTCATAAGTGTTATAAAAAAGAAATCAGACATGAACACACATCCAGCTATGCAAGAAGTTTTTGGCGGTTGAAATAGAATCAGATACGAAAAGAAGTAAAAAAAAAAACTTTCATTAATCGAAAGGTTTGATTAGTGTAAGTCATCATAGATGTTCAGGAACCATTTGAGAGGCGTTGCCCCGATGGGCAGTCAATTTGACAATGTCTACTCGTAATCCTATAAATCAAAGCACGGAAACGGAAGGGTTAGGCTATTACTAAGAGATAATACTGTTTCTGTGTGAAATTTGCCATCAGAGACATTTGTAATTTTGGCAAAAGGGTTCGATAACATTTCTTTAAAAAAAGTTAGTCAGTGTACAATCTTAGACTCTTGATGTTTACGATGCTGAGAATTGTATCGGGTTAATTCGTACATTTGTGGGACAAATAAATTTGCACAATTGCTAATCTTTTGTATATTTCTTTTCTTTTCTTTTCTTTTCATGATGATTTATACCGAAAACCCTGTCATTGTTGTAGGCGCTGGTGTAATTGGCCTTTCTGTTGCATTGCAGCTGAAGCTAAAGGGATACAAAAAGGTTACCATCGTAGCTAAATATATTCCAGGTGATCTTTGTATTGAATACACATCACCGTATGCAGGTAAATATGCACATGTAAAAAGACAATTTAGGCTGTTTATATTAAAACTTACCACATTTAGGTGCCCATTGGAGATCCATGGCGCCGGGTAGTAACAAATTGCTGCAAAGTATGTGTTGGCTGTGCCATTGAATTGCTAATTCGATCTAACTGAAGTATCAAGAGTTCGATGCTGTAACATATGATAGGTTTATGAATCTCGCTCATTCCTCAGATAATCCTGGCATTATGATTCTACCCAGCTATGACTATTACGATGATGCTTCGTCTCCTGATATCACTGATCCATGGTTTAAAGACGTAGTTCGAGATGTAGGTTTTATACATAAAATGTTACGTCTGAAAGTCTTATTGATTGTTGCTCTACAAGTTTGAATTTTTGACGGAGAAGGATGGCTTGCCGCATGGAGCACAATTAGGGCACAAATACACGACTGGTAACTTGAAATAAATAATTGTTATCAAAAGCTAATGTTGATGTTAGTGCTTATCAACACACCTGTCTACATTACATGGCTTGCTTCTAAATTCAAGGCTTTAGGAGGAGAAATTGTTCAACGCAATCTCGGCCATATTGATGAAGTTTTCGGCCTACAAGAGGATCCCAATGTAATTAACTGCACTGGATTGGGCGCTCGATATATAGGCGGTGTCAATGACGAAGCCGTATTCCCTACTAGAGGACAAACGATTGTTGTCAAAGCAACGCATATTAAAAAAACCATTACACACTTAGGTCAGTGGTTTGGAACTCAGTATCTTATTAGTAGGCGACTTTTGTCCTAAATAGTAAATTTGTATAGGGACACAAGGCATCAATTATGTGATCCCAAGATCTGATGGAACGGTTATTCTGGGCGGAACTGCCAATAAACATGATTTGTAAGCTTTTCTTGGAACTTGGTATACACAGAACAGCTAATTCAATGATAGCAATCCATTTCCGGAGGCACAAGCCAGCAAGACCATCTTGGAAAAGACACTTGCACTATGTCCTGAATTGAAGGATCAACCATTAGATATTGTAAAATACAACGTTGGCTTGCGTCCGTCCAGAATTGGTGGTGTACGTATTGAAAATGAGTTGCTCAGTAAGTATATTTCCTTTGACGGGGATGCAATATTGTAC